CCCGGAATTCTTGTGTATATTCGGCTACCGGGCGTTTGCCTTGCCTCATCGTTTTTATCCTTTCGCGGGCTTTGCGGTCAGCCAGGGGGTCCTCAAATCATCTTCTCAGGGAGGACATAAAACGATTGAAGTCGTTGAGCTCTGGGGCATTGGAGTCGTGCAAGTTCACCACCCAATCTGCGGCCGGTCCGTCTAAGGCCGATTGCACAATCCGGATACGGGCTTTGTCGCTGGGGATGTCCTGCCCATATTCCTCCATGTAGCTGAGGACTGGGTTAGGAAGAATCCCAAGCGTGTTGGCTCCCCTTTGAATTTCACCTCCAGCGGCGGACGTCTTTGAATGGATTGGTACCTTCGTTCTGGGTGGTAGTCTCTTCCATTCGGATTTCCATCTGTGGTTCGGCGGAGAGTGGGGACTACTGGATCAGTAGATGTCCCCGGGGTTGCAGGTTTCACTTCCCCTTCGTTGTCTCTCCCTTTGCGGCTCCAGAAGCTGGGGCGGCCGTAGGGCTCAGGATTCCCCTCTCCTAGGGAGCTGAGAGTTCGCTTCATTAGGTCGATTGCTTTCTCTAGGATCCAGCCTGAGTACGGTGCCCAGCTCCCTTCCTCCTCACTTGCGTGCAGGCATTTCTCCATCTCCTGCTTCCACTCTGGTTGTTTGGGCCCCCGTCTCAGAGTCACCTTTCTTGATTTCTTTCCCCACTCGCCTTTCTTTCCAACGTCCATTGACCACCGAGGTTTGTGGTCCCGTGTCTCCACTACCTCTTCTCCTGAGGATTCTGACCTCTCAGATCCCGACAGCTGGCAGGGTTTCAGCCGGGGCAGCAGCTCACTTTCCGGCTCCCTTTCAGAGGAGTTTTCTCCCTTCCTTGCTCCACTGTCTGACATGGTCGTTTTTGCAAAGTCCCCCGGCAAGGGTCTTCCTTCCAGGTGGACTAATTTTGCAAGTCCTGTCTAATGTAAGGACCCACCCCACTTTGCATCTTAAGAAGACAGAACTCCTGGAATATTTCTTCCAACAGGCATCAAATAATTCTCTTTCGACCTACATGGCATTCTAGACAGGACTTGGGTTTGAGCTCTCCACTTCAAGGTTTTAAGGGATCCCCCATTAGTCACACCCCCGTAACCCCCTTTTCCCAGTGACAATTCTAGGCCTTACATTCTCACCCCCTTTTCCTCATTGCCGGGAGGAATTTCAAAAAGGATTACATGAAAGCTAATGATCCCCATTGTTATTGTTAGTCCATTTGGTGATATCCACATTCAGTCCCTTTGAAGTAGGCTGAAGGAAATGAGGGCCATAAAGCCCCTTTGTTCACCCCCTTCCCTTCATCGTATGACAGAATCCAGAGCAGACAGAAATGTGGGGTTTCATAGTTGATAACTAGAGATGGAATATTTTTGGATTCTGACAGTATAGCTGTTTCCCCACTTTTAAGTGATATCCAAAGACCCACTTCTTCACGCAAGCATCTGCACAGTAAGGACCCTTATACAGATTTTAGTAATCCAAGAGAAATTTAGTGATCAGGATCACAGATATAATTACTGATCATCACAGTACCTTTCTGGCAGCAACTGAGACACTGGGGGGAAAAGAGCTTGTAGTTTTATGACTCAGGATGAGAGAGAGAGAGCCATTCTAGGACCTCTGGTTCTAGGAACTGCCTTCCAGGGTGGCAGCCATGAAGTGTAATACCCTGGACCTCTCTGATGACCTACTGCGCAGACCTTTGTTTTCCTTTCCCAGGCTTTTTTGTAACCCTTATACTTGAACTGATCCCATGACTTTAACTGCTGTTTGATTAATTCTTAGATCTGTTTCCATTGTTCGCCTTTCAGATTATGGTTATTTTAGAAGCACTTACGAGTGGATGATTTATAATTTTTATTTCACAATTATTATTACTGCTTGTACAACCTACTTCAAGGGACTACTTAATACAGAAAAGGGCATAAATTCAGGAGAAAAAAATATGTAAAAACTGCTTAGAGACTTACATGAAAGATCTGTGGCATCTCCAGAAAGTAAAACTGATTCTGATTGTGATTGAACTTCTGAAGATATGAAGCATATTCATTTTTGCTCTCCTCAGCCATGTGACTACGCAGGTTGGCTTGCTGCTTGGCCTGGGAAAAGTTGGGGAAATGATGAGAGAAAAACCGGATTTCAAGCAAAGCCACAAGTAAAGAATAGAATCCAACTTCAAATTTCCTTCATTCAAGTATGCATTTTAAGCAATCTTGTTCTCTGTCTCAGTGCTACTTAATTTGATCATCCAAATGGAAACAAGATCACTCTAGTTTCTACCAGCTAGAACTAAGAACCACTTTCTTCAGGTGCTCCAACCCCCTCCCCCCAGCCCCAAGTGCTAACCCCCCCCCCAAAGGTTTGAACAACATGGGCAAAGATTCTGGGAACTGAGATTTTTAAAAAGTCTGCACTTTTAAATTTTTCTTCCAAAAGAAGTAAAAGTGACTTATGTACCATTTTCCAAGATGCCTCCCATCTAGAAGATGTGTGTCCAGTGCATCTGGGGCTTCAAAGGACTGCTTTGACAATACGTTTTTGAGGGCAAGTGTATAGGGGGGAAGGTAACTGGCATCATTCTTTCTCTCCAAGAAGTTTTCCCTGAGATGTGTCTCAGGTTTTATGACTTACTGGGGAAATAAGTCATCATTTGCTTAGAAACATAACATCAGCATAACCAACCGAAAGTTCAATAGCAGAGCTCCATTCCTGGACTTTAGCACAAATGAGTCAGGATCTTGATCATCGCTTCCATAACAGAAGTCCTCGTAACTACTCCTGGGGCTGGGAAACAGTGGCACAGTCCAGATACTGACCTTCTCCACATCTGCCTTGGTAGCATTGATGTCCTGATCCAGCTTCTCTGCATTCAGCACAGCTTTCTCAGCCTCCCGGCAGTCACGTTCAAACTTTCGTTTGCTCTGTGAAGAAAAGCACCTGAGCACCTCTTGCCTGCAGCCCCCCTTGCTATGCCTTCCCTTGCTGGCTTACCCAAGTGGGAATGACTTGAATAACGAAATAGCATCATTTCAGTAACAGACTTATCATTTGAGCTGTGAACAATCACTGCATAGGCTTGATTTGATTAGCCATTCTGAGTTTTTAAACAAGAACTGGAAAAAGGATGGGGGGTTCTGCTTCTGATGTTTAAAAGCATGCTTAAAAAGGGATTCAGACTGTTATATCTCATGATATAAACAGAACTGTATTGAAAGAGGGAGCAGAACTGCCGATATCAAGTGGAGGATCTTTAGCAAGTACTTAAGCAACAACCTTCAAAAACTGCTTTGCAATAATGAAAGAACCATCTCAGCTACTCACATTTTCTCACTAGATCAGGGGTGTCAAACTGCCAGCCCATGGGCCGGACGCATCATGCGGAAGTCGCGCCCACCCCATTGCCGGCAATGGCAAAACAGTCCCGATATGTTGCACGACATCACATGATGTCGCAAGTTTGACATGTCTGCACTAGATTCAGGACTAATCTGTAGATACTGTATTGGTGAGAATAAACTGCCTTTTGGTTTTAAGCAAGAACAGCTCCCTTGAAGTGAACTATTTGAAATGTCTGGTTCAGCAAATTTATTTGTCCCATTAACTTCTATCCATGTCTTCAAGATTAGACTTAACAAAAATGTTAGACCTGCTGGGAATGTGGTATTCTATATTGGCCTCTACCCCAACTCAGGAAGCAAAAAGTTAGATGCTAAACAGAACTAAACTAGGGAAAAGAAAACAAAAATAGCAGCAGGGTATTGTACTCTAAGTTTAGAAATACAACTTTTAATAGAATTTTTGTTCAATATGGATGCTTGGTCTACACACAGACAAACATTCTGATGATGTGCAGTTTTTTATTTTGTGAAAATCCGGTGCTTTGAATAGGACATTCAATCATAGGAACATTTATTTTTGATCACGGAGAAAGGCAAACCCTGAAAACAATAAGCATTGACAAGAATTGCTACAGTTTTCTGTTTACATTAGTGTGAAATTATCAATGAAAACAATCCTAGAGAAAGGGTTTGCTCTTGTCTCTGAAAAGCTGTACTCTACTTTAATGGGGTTTTTCTCCCTAGAAAACCAACTCCATGATTATTTTAATCAATACACAAAACTCTATAGCAGCTTCCCCTAATTTTGTGCTGAAAGCTAGGTTGAGCTACAACCGCCTTACAGGCTATACTGGTCTGGGATTACAGGATGACACATGTAGCACATCTGGAGGGCATCAGGTTGGGGAAAGTGAAATCAGAAATTCTTGGAAATTTCCAAAACAGAGCTGTTTCCTAAAGTTCCTCCTCTCCCTTGACATGCACTCTGGATGTCACTGTTTCCTTGTATCCATGAACTCTCCAAGGAATTTTTAAAGATTGGATAGAGGAATCATTGCTTGACTAAAAAAAGCTCCATTTATTTTCCAAGCAATGTTTCCATTCATAAAATGTTTGGAGACCTCTGGGGGGGAACAGTGTCTTCCACAGCTGTGTTCCTGCTTGAAATATGAATCAAGCAAACAAGTTTTCAAAGACAAAAATACAGAATCCTTACATACTGTATGTTAATCTAAACCAGTGGTTCTCAACCTTTTTAATGCCGCGACCCCCAACCGGTCGTAAGTCGAGGACTAAACTGATCGTAAGTCAAGGACTAAACCGGTTGTAAGTCGAGGACTACCCAACCGGTCGTAAGTCGAGGACTTTCCCTGCCCGGGAGCGCCGTGCATGCGTGGTTCCGCCCCCTGCGCCGGCCGAGGCATAGCTGGCAAGCGGCAGAGACGGAGCAGGCCGACCACCAACTGGCCCAGCTCAAGGGAGGTAAGGCACCCGCCGGAAAAGGGAAAAAAAATGGCGGACAGCCTTGCTTGGCGACCCCCGTGAAATGGTCGATCGACCCCAAATGGGGTCGCGACCCATAGGTTGAGAACCGCTGATCTAAACCGTTAAAGGAAAATCAGAACTCACATTTTCAAGTTGCTTGAAGGAATTCTCTAGCTGTTGCTGAGCCCTTCGGCCTTCTTGCAGATACTGGAAAGTGAAAGGGAATTTAAGAGAAAGAAAATCATTATGAAAAGTTCTTGAACTCCCAACACATTGAATCTCCCTCCCCAAATCATTAGGTGACAATAATACTTCCAAAGAGTAAAATCTTCAACAATCCCAGAAATCAACCTCAAAGAGCTTTCCAAAATCAAATGGCTCCGTGGCTTCTTTTACATCAAAGTTGGCTTTTGCTCTCTCAAAATCTATTTTTCATCTACATATTTTATCTCCAAGAATATCTATAGCTAAAATTTCAAAAACAGAAAATGGGGGAGGAGGGTGAATATTTAAGGAATATCTAAACACGAAACACCTGAGGTGATTGAGGGAAACCTGCACTAATACTATACTAAGAATATCTACAATTCATGCATTTTTCCAGTTTTGAGATCTAATACCACTGAGGTGGAGATACATACAAGCTACTCTTTAAATTAATGATAAAATATTTAAATACTGCATTTACAAAATACCTGAACACTAAATGGTAAACATTGCTTTTAAAACATTTTCCTAGCCACTCAAACTCTCAGAGATCCAAAGGCAACTTTGCCAAGAGAGGAGTTTGGTAGCAAGATTTATGACACGGAATCAGAAGTACTATCAATTCAGAAAAGAATCCTTGTCATTTTCTGGGAAGTTCTTGGAAGCCTTCTTCTTCATTTCACAGTAATAATGAATGTGTTGCCATAATTCCTACACAGAGGCACTATTGAAATTTGAACACAACAGAGGACAGGATAGATTCTATAGTGGTGCACTGCAAAAATCTTTCTGAGAGCAAAATCACACAATGACAACTTGTGCCATTTGGAGATCTGTAATTGGAACTCTTGCGTCTTTAAAATAAATAGCTGCAATTTCTCTTCAAACTGCTGCCCCCTCCATGCCACCATGCAAGCAATTTTTGAAACTTCCATAAATTAGAAAGGACTATCCCAATCAGCGGTTGCGTGCCAAAATAAAAAATATTCTAAAACATTCCTGGGCCTTTATTGTTTTGAAGATGTGGATCATAAAGGACGTAATCAAGATTGGTGAAAAAAAATCATGGTTCATTTTAGGACAATAAAGCAGATTTATGTCCTGCCAAAGTTTCTTAATAGGGGTGCAAGACAAAAGCAGTTAAAAAGAGAGGAAAAACCAACCAGAAATTGGTCAAATACCATATTTACTTTTCTGAAAAAGTGACTGTGGCCTTTTTTAACAAATCAGTGTTTAATGCAATATGCAAGCACCATAAATATCTAGAAAAACAAACTCTAGTGGTCAAAAAGAGCAATAGCCACCAACAACAGGGAAGTAGCATGGAAGGTCTCCATGGATGACAGACCTCCAAAAAAGGAACAAAGTGAAAATCAGTCTTTCCAGACACCAAATTCTCAGTGAGCCATCAACAATAAAGATGCTGAGGAGATCAAAATACGCAACCCTCAAGCCAAGGGCATAAGATATCAAAGCCTGTTGTTTGGCCCGTCTTACTAGCTGAACTACCATCCAGAATGTCTTGTTGCCACAGTTCATCTCCCAACAATTTTACCAATTTCCTTTCCTGCTTCAGCTCCTGCAAGTCCTTGGAAAGCTCCACACAGATCTGGGCTAAAAGATCCTCTGCTATAACCTCCCGTTGGCCTGCAAAATCATTCAGCTCCTTCACCACTTGAAGGAAAGCCTGGTACTGACAAAACCTACAAAGAAAAGACAATTATTTAAACTTAACCTATAAACTCCTCCTCCTACTCAAACAAGAAAGAGCTTCCAGGACTGCACTTCAATGAAAATGAAGTGTGGTCCTTCACAGTTCAGTGAAGATATGGGTGAAAAGAACAAACATGGAGGTAAGAACAGGCATTAAGTGCTACAACCAGGGCGACCCTGATACCCCTAGAACTTGGAGTTAACCTAGTAAAGAGACAACTTGGGAGGGAAAACATGTACAATTTCTAAAGCCTGGAAATATAGAAAAAGAAGTGGGCAGGACTTGTTTTCTCCCTCTACCAATAAGTGAATCCTTCTTAATGAGATGGTGGTCCTTCTGAACACACCACTAATGAAAATAGCTACATGTATGCATGGAATACTGTGCAAAAAGATGTGATTTTTTGTTAAGCTGGGCACTAGCTTAGATGATTTAAAAAGGAATTAAACCAGTTTATTGAAGATCCACTACTAACTGCTCTTAGCCGTGATGGTTATATCTGTTCAGAAAAAAGACTACTACAGAACAACCACAGAATACTAGTTGCTGGGTAGCAGAACTATTTTTGCACTGTTTTTATTTCCTCATTCTCTGCTGGAGACAGAATACAGTTTTGTTTACTATGCTTACATTCATAAATATATTGACCTCCCACAAAGATACTAACTGCATCTAAACTAACTTCCCTATATTGACAGTCCAAATTGAATGTAGCCATTATATTTATGACTAGTGTCTTGTACAAAAAAACACACCTATGGGTAAAGTCTGTACCCAATGTATTAAGATAATGAAGATCTGACACAGAATTTTAGTTTTTATGCAAAGTTTTGTATCTTTCCTGGATGTACTTTTAAAATTATGTAAGAGCTATACTCTAGGTATTCCTTTTTCTTCACTTTTTTTTTACTTATATGAGCTATCAGAACATGGGCATACATACTAAGTACAACCATAACAAAAGCAGCCCCCAGTGATAAATCTGAATTGCAAGATCAATAATTAAAGCATATAGATGGAGAGAGATAAATTATTTCCTGGAGCAAGAAATCCATTTCCTGGATATGTGGGCCAGGTTGCTGAGCCGCCCAGTCAGTCCAATAACATTAACCAATGCTAAATATCACCGAATGACTGGAAAGGTGAGTTCCACAGGTCTTCCTTCATATTTATAAACCTCAGAATCAAGTAAGTCGTGTGGTTTATGTTGCAATGTTCTTTTCATCATCTGTCTTCCTGCTGATGCTCATACTGGTTCTGCAAAGTGGATGCAAGTTTGGATCACATGTGCTGCTGCTTCCTAGGCATTCTTTTGAGGACTGCTGCTCTGAACAATTTGCAAAGTCGTCTTGCCCAGGTCTTGCTAAGCTCAAGTTTAAAAACAGACACGTTTTATCTGCTTGAAATATGTACAGCACTGTGTGGCCATCTCCCTGGCTTCGTTGCAGCTAAATTCATATGCTCACTGCTTACTTTATGTCTGGATCTTCTCGAGCCGTCCTCTTGGGAAGGTGCTTTTTCACAAGATTTCTACAAAGAAGATAACATGCATAACATACAATATTGACCTGAAATGGAACAAAGAGTGAGCTCATACCTAACTTTAAAAAGGTATACTGCCTCATTCAGACATAATTACACTTCATTATTAGATTTTTAAGCAGCTTCAGACTGTTGGATTTTGTTAGATGGAAATGTTAATATACCAGCCTGGATAAAATTATTCTTATTTAATAAGAGTTTTCCTACTTTCTCTACATTTCATCTATCTCAAATCATATATGAGATAGCCAGCTTACTTGGTTGCAGAGATTTCCAGATTTTTCTTTTGTTTCAGCAGAAAATATTAGCAACAGGTTTTCAGCCTCGCCATACTTATTATAGCTTGGATCTATAATTTGAATCAGCAAATGTATTAAAATATCAGAAAAGAACTACACATGTGGCTGATGCAAAGTAGAGGTTATTAAACAGGACTGCTTTGTAGAGCAATCAACAAACATAATTTATAGTTGACGTTCTCAAAAGAAAAGAGGGCCATTCAAGCTATCTTTAATATTATGAAAGATACAACTTTAATAAATAAATTAGTCAATCATAAATTAATTTATCTATGGAGATTCAAAGTCATCCAGATCATAGTTGTCCCAAAGGTGCTTTTTCACGAGGCAACTGGACTTTCTTTTTTCTCTTTGAAGACGTTTCGCTTCTCATCCAAGAAGCTTCTTCAGCTCTTAATTAATTAATTAAACAATGCCTAAAAGCATCACAGATATATTTTTCCTGATTCCTGTGCTTTGCATCCGCTATCTTGTAATCAGTCTAACAGTGCAGAAATACTGTAATCTGAGTGACACTGCTCACAACCTCTTGAAAAATTCACAAGCTGGGAGGAAACGGACAGCGAACAGAAGGAAATTTCTTTTTTTTCCTGTGGAGTACCCTTTATGTATAGAATTTGTTCTCACAAAATGTGCCCCCCCCCCCGATCTTACATCAATGCGGAAAGGAATTAAATAATTCGTGGAAGTTACAGACACTGACTTTGATGATTATGTGTACCACTCTCAGGCTTCAGAGGCTGCCGCTGTCTCTAAACACCAACTGCAGCGTACAGGAATGAGAAATAGAGTCTTGGCTCAGGGAAGCCCATAAAGAGGCCTCTTATTCGGCCAATATGGTACAAAAGAGGAAGAGGACCCTGGACTGGACCGGCTTTGATCTATTTGTATGGGCAAGGTTCACAGGAGGGGGCTTCCCATTTAGGCCTCAGTTTTTAGCCACCTTCCAAAACAGTTTCTTCCACTGTATGAACAGATGCAGAACATTTGTTCTCATCACTGGAGAAAAGTGCAGGGTATCATTACACAAAAATAGCATCTTACACATAACAGAGTTTATTGTGAGAAAGTGCAGAAAGCAAAGCTAAGAGAGAACTACTAACTTTATTCTTGCAGGAATCTACAGGTGATGCTAACAGACCATCAGTTTGAAAAATCAAATTCTAATGAATCCTTTCAGACACCAACTGATCAGCGAGAATATACTAAAATAAAAAAAAATCTAAGCAAGATTAGCCACAGTGTTTTTATAGTTGTGCAATACACATGACAGGTTAATACTGCTTCCTTTCCAGAGAGCTGGGGCATATTCTTTCATCAGCTTGATGGGATAAAAGTGGTCCAGGAGCACTGAGATGGAAAAACTGGACTTTGTGCCTTTCTACTCATTGCAATTGTATGACTAGGGAAAGGAGAAAAGATTTTATAGAGTGGGATCCAGGCAAATTCCCCCCTCTTGATTTCTGCTGAATAGGGAATGTATGGGGAGATTACCGGCAAAAAGATAAATAAGTTAACCAGTTATGAAAACAAACCAAACCATCAACTATGTCTGCCTTTGGTTTTCAAAGGGCAAAACTAGATATAACATTTTGGTCCCCATAAACCAGAAGTAATTCAAAATAGTCTTAGGAATTATTGGGGGTGGGGGAATGGAGGCTACTTTTGTACTGCTGCTGTCCAAGCTAAGCTTCTCAGAGACTTAGGATTGAGTTGTCTGGAAATTAAACACTGTGGGGTTAAGCAGAGGGATGAAAGTCATGGCTAAGGAATTCACCAGTCAGCCAGACATTTTAAACTTTTCTGGGTCTTCCAGGGACTATATCAGCCTTTGGATCAGGTTCAGGGATACTTGGAACCACAGTTTTAGGAACTGGGGGCAAAGAAAGAACAATGCTTTGGGCTTGAGCCATAGAGAAGGCTAATTTGGAATAGTTAAAATACTAAATCAAAGTACTGGGTTCAGGAGTCTAAATTAGTGGAAGAAGAGAACTTTTTTCAGAGCTCCACAGAGAACAGATTACTTTTCTCCATCTTGGTACCCCCTACACGTGTTGGACAATAACTCCCAGTATATGTGCTTGCATCCAACAATGGCCTTAGATGGAAATAACTCTTTTCTGTTTGTGCCCAGCATCTGATATCCAAACATAGAGTTTCTACTGAGCCTCAGATGACAGGACACAGATATAAGCAGCTATGATTGCTCTGGGGTAGGGGATTCCATATTTGTACATATTATATAGTATTATATTGCTTTCTACATAAAATCCTATTTTCCCATCTACTGAATTAATAAACCACAATGACATGTCTAGATGCTTCAGGAAAAAGTCCAGGGTTTGATTTTGGGGTTGGGCAGTCTTAATAACTGTTTTCCCCCAGAGCTGAGCTACGTAAGTACTTGGATTCTTTCCTTTCCTAAAACCCGAATACAAGCATCTGTCAGCCCCATTGTCACCCCCACTCCTTCATACCTACCTCAGCTGCTTTGCATATGACTGCTCGATTTCTGTCCGCTCTTTCACAAATTTGACGTATCTGTCCATCAGGTCCAGGCCCCACTGGGTGTGGCGCTCAATCGTGTCAAATTGATCCTGGAGGGGAAGAGGGGAGAAGTGTGACCCAATGCAACTGAAAGCCCACAGACTCTTTCTGTGACCCAAACAGATTGTGTCACAAAGGCCAGGCAGAGATAACAAAAAAAGGGTGACTGAGCTATGTCTGCTTTTACACTATCGGCAAGGACTCCCTAAAGGAATTCTGTGCATGTAGCAAACTAGGAGTTAAGGAAAAGCAACAACCAAACATGCAAATATTCTGCCACATTTTGAAACACTATTGTCAAAATAACCAGACTTTATTCAGAGGCTTGAGTCAAGAACCTATAATGCTTTTTAGGTCAAGGGTTGCTCTCAGCCTCTGAGTGACGTTCCAAGGACTGTATCCATAAAAGTAATCAGGTCCAGACAAAAACTAATCTTCAATACATGTATAACTATACCCAGTTCTAATGATTTCTCTCACTTGTATTTAATCACTTTGTCGTGTCCCATAAAAATAACAATCTGGTGGAAACCTTTGCAGTCCTAGCCAGACCCTTATTGTATTGCAATATGGCTGTGGAAAGTAGTCCCTAATTAATGTAAGAGAAAATCCAGTTGAAGCTCTATGAACAGAAGCTAATGCAAATAATGAACACTTTTTTCTATGCCTAGTTGCTCTCTAGGCTTATTGGGTGGGAAATAGGGGGAAAGCAGGTCATTCTACTCATGCAACTCACATCAGCACAATTCAAGCTGACATTGCAAATTCTTCATTGTTTTTCATGCTACTAAACATCTAAGCAAGGGCCCAGGGTTTTTGCATCTCAACTTTTTATACTGAATAGTATTTAAGAAACAATACACCACATTCCTATATACCTCTCCCCCCCCACCCCCATGACATTAACCAGGAATCAGAGTAAGTTTTACAAGAATGTGGCAGGCAGACATTAAAGTCCAACCTTTTTCTATCCACTAATGTACACTTCATCTCCTCAAATTTTGGAAATCACAGATGGCAATGTTTGCCTCAGGATCAATGTGACAGAATTACTATCTAAAGAGAGTTCTAGTTTTATATACTTTAGCAAGCTCAAGGCAGACAGTTCTCCACAGTATCGCATTCTTAATATGCCTGTCTCATAAAGAATAAAGAATTTTTAATTTACTTGGCGGAATACCGGACACAGCACTATTGAACTAGAAGTGATATATAGAAAAATACCCTGTTTCCCTGAAAGTAAGCCCTACCCCAAAAACAAGCCCTAGTTTTGGGGTGAGGCACACACTTAAATATCAAGCTAGAGCGGGGGTGGGGGTGTGGATCTGCTCTATATGTCCAGCACCCATTTACCTTGCAGCCAGGCCTTTCCTTGCGGGCCCACTTCTTCTGAGGCGTCTTCTGCAGCCAGGCCTGCATTTCTCAATCAGCCCTGCATTTCTGGAAAGGCCCATGCAGCTGAGAACTGAGCTATGGATTGAATCCATAGCTCAGTACTCCGCTGTAGATGCCTTCCGGAAAGGCCTCACTGCGAAATGCAGGCCAGAATGCAGCTACAGAATTAAGCTGCTCCTTCAGCTACAGAAGAAGTGGACCAGCTGGGCAGGGCTGTCGATGCAGGTGGTGAGTAAAAAAGACCCGATGCCTCTTTTGGAGGCAAAAAAAAAATAAGATCCAGTCTTACTTTCGGGGAAACATGGGTACTATCCCTAAAGCAGTATAAATAGGAGACATTCCCTCTCCACTTTTTGTTTTACTAATTACTTCCAAACACGAGAATGTTAAATCTAAAACGACAGAAACATTGTAGATTTATCAACTAAAATCGAAAACATCTGGATCAGGCCTTTTAAAACTGACAATGAGTATGTGCCACATCAAGCCCCTGTTAATCTTAACAACCACCCTAATTTTCTCCAGGATGATATGTTCTCAACTGGTCCTCCAAGTCTTTCAACATTGCAGACATTGTGACACCAATGGAATCCATCCACCTTGCTGTTGGTCATTCTCTTGTTCTCCTTTTCATGTGGCCTTTTAAAACTGGAAAGTTATACAGGAGAAAGCCATAAATATGGATTTCAGGCTCTCCAACTAAACACGTTTGTGAGAAGAAACAAAAATATATTGAAAATGATTATGATCTGCAAATGTGTTAAAAGAACTTGACTGGGACCCAGCAGTGTGCAGCAGCAGCCAAAAAAGCTAATACAATCCTGGGTTGCATAAACAGAGGCATACAATCAAGATCATGCAAAGTATAAGTACTGCTTTATAAAACCCTAGTAAGATCACACCTGGAATAATGCAACCAGTTTTGGTTACCATACTACCAAAAAGATGTTGAGACCTTGGAAAAAGTTCAGAGAAGAGCAACTAAAATGATCAAAGGCCTGGAGAATAAAACATATGAAGAACGACTGCAGGACTTGGGTTTGGCTAGTCTAAAGAAAAGAAGAAATAGGGGTGACATGATAGCAATATTCCAGTATTTGAGAGGCTGCCACAAAGAAGAGGGGGTCAAACTATTCTCCAAAGCACTAGAGGGCAGGACAAGAAACAATGGTTGGAAACTGAACAAAGAGAAGCAAGCTGGAATTAATGAGAAACTTCCTAACAGTGAGGACAATTAACCAATGGAACAGCTTGCCTTCAGAAATCATGGGCGCTCCATCACTGGAGGTTTTTAAGAAGAGACTAGACATTCACCTGTCTGAGGTAGTATAGGTTCTCCTGCTTGAACGGGAGGCTGGACTAGAAGACCTCCAAGGTCCTTCCAGTTCTATTCTAATCTAAAAACTGACATGATTTAATGTGCAAACCAGCAATGAACTATGTACTCTGAATTCAAGTACTCTAAATATTAAGTAATCTGAATTAACAAAAGTCTTGTACCAGAATGGTTATTTTTATAAGAACAATTAGCAATTTAGTTACGTTGTGTCCAAAACATTTTGCCTCTATTAAGTAATTCATCCCTGATTAATTCCACTAATATTTCCATAAAAACTATCACAACATCAAGCTGCTACCTATGAGATCTAGAGAGAGTCACTTCCCAACTCTATGATACATTTTCTAACCAGAGATATCAATGCAAATATCTAGACAGAATTACTCCCTTATAATCCAGGAATGTTTTAATATTATATTGTTTGGACACAGATCACTTGATAAGCACACTTGTCCTAGCTGTAAGAAATTTAAATTCATATTTTTAATATAAGAGAATAGGCATTCAAACTGAAAAGGGAGGAAGGAGTGTAAAAATATGAATTCCACCCTGTCACCTCTATCACATTCCGTTGCATCTCATTCATAAGCCACCTCAATAAATCAAGGAACTCTTAAGTGAAAATCTTGGTGGGAAGATCTAAAATGAAGGTGCAGCCATCCTTCTTCCAACTGGTTCCCTTTTCACATCCAAAAGCAATGTGGAAACGATGTGAAGAGAGACAGCAGAGGCACAAACCGTTGTTCCCTCGCCCTGTCTCTTCCCCATATTTTGGGACATCAGCTGAAGAGGGATGGCTCCAATTCCTTCTTTGGCATTATTTTCAGCCCAGCTTGAAACCTACAACAATTCTAGAGTAAAGCCTGCAACTGATACCCACGTGACATGTAGCCCAAATGCTCTGAGGCACTTGTAATGGGTAGTCTTTAGAGGTGAAGAAGGTCCAAGAATGCCAATCACTGGGGGGAAAAGCATTTCTTTTAATTCTTAATATGGAAGCTGCATCTGTTGGGGAACAGCTTTGCACTAATGCTGGTGGAGTAAACCATCTTGAAGCCAGCACTTGGATTGAATGGGAATGTTTTTTCTCAGCTTTAGAGTCTAGCAAAGTCAGATGCAATCTTTCACTTCCTCTTCTTGGCATCCTATTTTAAGACAACTACTTACAGCTGGACAATATTTAAGGAAGGTTTCTAACAAGTTTCCTTTTCCATCCTGAATGCATAAAACAAACTACTGTTTGAAAATTTCTTTGAAAATAAGGATGCATTGTGTTCTGATATTTAAAATTAATTACTTTGGAATATAGCTAATTACAGCATCATGAGTGAGCAGTCCAGAGCCTGCATTTGAACTCTTTTGGGTAACCCAAGTTTCACTGAACAATGGTAGTAAAATTTCTTCCCTTCTTTTAAATGATTGGTATTGGCAGGCTCCAAAAACCAAGACACAAAGAGTTACTTCTGAGCAGTTTCCTTCATTGTTCCTCACCTGTAGATGAGATGGATGGCACATAAATCAGACAGATAGACAGGCAGGCAGAAATCTTGCCAAGCTAAAACAACTACTTGCATCATTACAAATAGATTCTGAGAACCTCTACGGAGGGGCTGATTTGACCCTATTTCTCCCAACCAAACTATCCAAACATTGCTGTGTTTTTGTCCTCTGGAATGCAGCTCCTCCCTCCTGGGAATCCAGACTACATTCCGCCACAGGTATAAATTATACATAGCAAATGATTTTCTTTCTTGAAGCTGGGAGATGCACAAGCTCTATGCAGGGCAGTCACAGAGAAAAGGAACTGCCTCCTGAACGCTTCCCTTCTTCCCTCAAGAATACCCCCAGAATATGTCATCAGTGCATTATCAGCTTCCTCTCTAGACTAGACATTGACAGGTAAGGGGAGGTGTGTGTCTCAAGGCTATGTAGCAGCAGCAACACTTTCCCTGGCTGTCATCTAATGCCACTTGGGGAGGAAAACCAACATTTCACTATTATCATCATTACCAGAACAATGTTTCAGAAGAGATATGAAAAGCAAAGAAATACAGGTAATCCTCACTTATGACAATAATTGAGCCCAAAATTTCTGTTGCTAAGTCAGACATTTGTTAAGTGAGTTTTGACCTATTTTATGACCTTTCTTGACACATTTATTAAGTGAATCACTGCAGTTGTTAAGTTAGTAACATGGTTATTAAGTGACTCTGGCTTTCCTAATGACTTTGCTTGTCAAAAGGTCGCAAAAGGTGATCACATGACCCCTGTCATAAATGTGAGTCAGTTACCAAGCGTTTGAATTTTGATCATATG